TCTCTCTCTCTCTCTCTATCTCTCTCTCTCTCTCTCTATATATATATATATATATATATATATATATATATATATATGCAGAGTAACTGGCTTCATTTCAAATTAAAGTGAATGATAAAGAGTTTCAAAGGTTAATCTCACCCCAAGGCAAAGGTGGACATACGAACGTGAAGTGGCAGTCCCGGATGCTCAGCACAAAATGTACACACTCAAGGACATAAACAGTCCATCCCGAATGAGCGAACCCTTATGAGGCAAGGCTATGTGAAATTCCATATTTTCGTTTTTCAGTAGACTTTCGAGACAATTAGAAGATATTGAATAAGAACTATGCTCAACCTATTTTATTTAAGGTGATGAAGGATCTGTAGTTTAATTTTCCCATAATGTTATAAGTAGACCTCACGTTTCCAAAAAGGTTTTCTTATCCTATACTCACGACCTCATTTCTAATCCTGTTGGGACAGAATATGAAACGGTGAAGCAGAGTCGAACCTTCTGGCCAGCTCGTATAAAACAATTTCAGGAGGCCAGGCCAAATGAAATTCGTTTTAAGTATGTTTTCGAGTCTACCAGTTAATCAGATATGTGAGATGTGTTTACAATTTTCATTTAAGGTGATGAAAAACTTGTAGTTGAATTTTTTCATCGTCTATCCTGCAGTCCATCCTGGATGAGAATACCTTTTGGGAAAGCAAGGCTATGCGAAATTTAATGTAATTATAATGTCTATTGATATGCTTGTGGGAAAATTGAACCACCATCCTTATCACCTTAAACGAAATAAGGTAAAAACATCTCATATAAATAAAATTTATTTGCATCGTTTGGCTTACTCCTCTCATTATGAGCTATCCTTACTTCACTATATATGGAATGCATTCACCTTATTTGGTTTAATAGAATCTCGAAAACCTATTTATATACAAAAAATTATGTCACTCCAACTATTCTGTATATTTGTTTATATATGTGTGTGTGTGTTTCTGGACGTTTAATTTGTCGGATATTTGTAAGGACCATTGATGCAAGACACAGAATTATGCCTTCTTTTACCTCTTTGAAGGATACCCTCAAGGCCATTCACCGAATCTCTACTGACACCCGTGGCCTGCTTCGTCGTTGTCACTACCTCTTTATCTGATCCCATTTGATTCTGGCTCAGCTCGCTCATCTGCCCAGTTAACTGATGCTCCGGCGGGGTGTGTTCTTGCTGTTGCTGCTGGAACTGGTAAAGTACACTGGCGGCCGAGCAGTTCCAGCGCTCGCCTCGGAACTGGTGTACACATTCTAGGAGGCCGAGCTGTGTACCGTCCACCATGGCCCAAACGAGGCCTGGATGCGATAGACACAGTTGCTTCTGCCCGGCCGTCAGTCCGTTCAGCCGATGACAGAGCAGGTCATGCGAGACCAGTCCTGGGGCGGCCGGTACCGAGTACCGCGAGCCCGAAGCCGGGATTGAGCTCGGCTGCCATTGCCTGCCGGCCTGTTGATCCGCCGACTGTCGAACGACGGCTTCATCAGATGCTTTGGTATTCTGCCGGCCGGACAGACTGAGGCTGCGTGGCCATGCTTGGTTGGACCGATCGACCAGAGTTGCATGTGCCCGTTGGGCGTCGTCACGGTCACTGGCCAAATGAGAGTTCCAGTCGAACGAGTCGCCGGCAGGGGCGTTGGAGCTAAATCTGCCCATCGGACGGTCATGCCCGGAGGGGTAGATACGGCCGGACGGTGGTAGGACGTCAACCGAGACAGGATAGCCGGTTGGTGGCCTGACATGAGTTTCTGAAGAAGACGAGACGGCCAGAGGATCGGATGCCGAGGTGGCAGAGTGCTCAAGGCCCGACTCGACT